GCCTTAGCAACAGAGGAGGCCGAGGCGACTGCGGCCGCCTTCTTGATAGCGGTCGCGCAGCCAAGATCGCCCTCGATGACAGTCTGAAGCTTGATTGCCCCTCCATGAAGTCATTAACGACTGCAGTCGCAGCCCCCTGGCAGGACAGAGTGCAATCGCCAGTGTAAATCTTCAAAAGGACCGATCTTGGCAGACTGAGCCCGCCCAGGGCCGCTAAGCTAAATGCGCGCGTGAAAGTCGTGGCGAAGCCGCAGCCTGCCACGATGCCGCGATGCATGACACAGCTGCTCATGGCAATGTAGCGGCAGGCACGGTAGGCCACGTTACAAACTCGACGATCTGCATGTGGAACCCGTGCTGGCGGCATCGCTGGAGTAACAAATCTAAACCAACCGGCTCGTAAAACTTCAGGAGATCCCAAAGAACCGAGCTTTAACCCACATCGGATGAAACAGCCTTCTCGCTTCTCGCGCTCTGCCGCCAGATCGCGTCCACGCTGGAGGCGAAGGAGCCAGCCGCAAAGTGATCGCGCGCGTTGGCCGCTTCCCACCTGCAGGCGTGGCCACGACGGGCCCGTGCCCAGGGGCGATGAGCTGAAAAGAAAAGCCCGATGGGGCGGTGGCCACCGTCGGGCTTGGCAAGCACGTTTAGCAACAGCACCCGCATCTGCATCGGCAGGAGACCTGACTTCTCGAACGTGGCGGTCATCCGAGTGAGAACAATGAGGGCCTGATCCGACAGGTGCGGGAAGTTGCCAACGTGGAAGCCGTCGACCGATGCCGCAGTGCGCTTGGGGAACGATCGAGACGCGCGGCGGAGGTCGTCGGGGGTGAGCTCGGGCAGAGGGTCGAGAAGTTCAAACCTCCCTACCGCTGACGGGCGGGTCAGAAAATCCTCGGCGTGCCCAGATCCGGAAACTTAGCGCATTCAGAGGCGAGGAGGGCCTGGGGATCAGAAACCAATTCCCCCTTGGCGCTAAGAGTAATGGATGGGGCCCAGGCGGGGCCCCCCCTGACCACGCCATGGGCGTTACGAGCTCCTGACTCAATATTCGTTGTGCAGCCAAAGAACCAATTCTCATGATCGTCATTGCGGGAATCCTGCTCGGCCACAGCTTGGGCCTGGGAGACCGCGTCGAGGACAAACTCGGGCTTCCCGGAAACAACCGCCAGGCCAGGGGGGCTGCGGCCCACAACATCCTGACAACGCTGCAGCAGAGCAGATGCCTCGCCGCTCCACTCGCCAAGCCTGACGAGCGGGTTGAACAGTCCGGTAGCCGTGGCCGAGAGGTGGATGACCGGCATCGAGCTGTGATCGGGGGCTGCTTTGTAAGCTCCCGGATGTCCTGACAACTTTTTTCGCAATCCGCTACGAGCATCGCTTGGAGAGGAGAGATGGGCCTCTTCAGCCGACGCCCCAATGGCACACAGCTGCAACCATAACCTGAAACGTTTGTTGAGCCAGCGCAGCTGCGAAGCCAGGCGAGAGGCGGGCGACGCTCCATCCATCGTCGCCTGACCTGGCTGCAGCGCGCTGGTCCACTGAAGCTCCGCCCGCCGACCGCGACTGCCACGGTGCGAAAGGCGACGCTGGTAGACTCCCTCGAGCTCTTTCTCGACCGCGTTAGTCCAGTGTTTGTATATGGTGTCAATGTGATGTTGGGCCCGATCCACATCCCCACTCTCGGCCGCAGCAAGGGCTCGGGAGGCCATCCTACCGAGCAGCCCCCAGTCAGGAGGGGACTCGGGGCAGGGCCCCGAGGGTCGCTGGGGCGGGAAGGGGGGGGGGGGGGGGGCGTCTGAAAAGCGAGGGCTTTCAGGGGGGGCAAGAGAGGGGTGGAAGGTGAGAGAGA